TGCAAACTTTTATCTTACCATGAGTGATAAAATGTCTAAAGAAAAAAAAATTATTTGTCGCGATTTTCTTATGCTAGTGTTGTAGGAAGTCTGATGTATGTTATGGTTTGTACAAGACCAGATCTTGCACATGCAGTCAATGTTGTGAGTAGGTTTATGATTCAGCCACGAAAGGAGCATTGTATGGCTGTGAAAAATCATTTTCTGGTATTTGAAGGGTACATCTGATGTTGGTCTTGTCTTTGGAGACAAGATCAGAGACTGATTGCAAATTATTCGGATTTTGATTATGCAGAAGATGTTGTTAGTAGGAGATTTATGACTCCTTATGTTTACTTTGAGTATTTTTTTGTGTGTGCCGGAAGGCAACTTTGTAGTCGACAATAAATGTGTCTACTACTAAAGTATAGTATGACATTGAAGCTGATAAGGGCATCTCCAACCCCACTCTATTTCCTATACAAAACTCTATTATAGTGTAAAATCTTCTCCAACCCCACTCTATATTCCACTCTAAAATAATGTAACTCTATTTTTCACTCTATATTTGGAGTAACTTTATTTCTTACTCTATTATAGAGTGAAACTTTTTTATTTATACTTTAGTCCTTTTTTTTTTGTAATTTATAACTGTATGTAATTTAATTATGCATACAACACATAATTATTTTTAACACTATATTTATAAATGTTTGAAACTTATTATTATTAGACAAAGAAAACAAGTACTGAATATTAATTTAGACAAAGCAAATAAATACTAAATTAGAAATAAGCAACACAACATAAAATTAAAACTAAAATCATAGATAATTGTGATTTAATATTCTGGTAAATTGCCTCCAAATCCACCAAGATTGTTAAAATATGGTTCAAATGAAGTAGAAGAAGGAGTAGCTTCTTGTTCATGTTGTTGACCACGTCTTTTTTGTAAATATGCGTGAACTTCTGGATCTTCAACTGAATTCAAGTCGCAAAATAAATATTTGTTTTCTTCCTTCAGCTCATTCAAAGCATAATTTTTCTTTTCAATCTCCAAATGATATTCTCGTTGTGCGCTTGCCTTCTTTAGTTTCTCCAAAAATTGCATATTTCCTTCTTTTAAGGTGTTGATAACCGATGTTGTTTGATCACCAAGTTTTCGCTTCATTTTAGATTTTTTTACCCCGATTGGGCGTGGAGAGGGAGATCCGCTGATATTACCCTCGCCATCACTTAAATTTAAAGAGAATGAAGGCAAACCTGGAGATGTCTGCGTGGGAGAATCAAGGAAAGGATTTTCTGACTCTGAACATGTATTCTCAGGGATTGATATTGATATGCATTTAGCATGGGCAACACCATCTTTAAACTTTTCAAAGTATTTATTAATACTCCAAACATTGTCAAATTTCCAACCACTTTTGAACTTTGAATCTTCACTTAACATTGATTTAGCTTGATTAAACTACATGACATTAAAAAGAAAATTAATAATTACCCAAAAAATAGAAATAATTTCATACAAAGTGTAATAAAATAAAATTGTATATCATTACTCACAATATCATCATTTGAAGCACCGCTTAGACGTCGATTTTCACATTGTTTGATGTATGCATGTAATTTTTTTGTTGCTTTCTCAATAGTTTGAATTCGACACTGAAGTGATCTTTTAGAACGTTCACTCCAACTTACGTTTTTTCCACACTCATAAGCTTCCACCACACGAGTCCAAAAGTGGTCAGATGTTTGATAGGCACCAATGATTGGATCTTGAGAAATTTCTAAATATACTTGACACAAAAATTTATCTTCTTCTTGTGAGTATCCAAGAAACCGAGACATTTTTAGTAGCTAACTGTTTATTATAAAATGAGCAAGTCTCGTAGAATTGTGTTCTTTGCTAATGATCGTATATATAGATACAAGCAAGAGATAGACAAATTATTATTTGGCCAAACCTTTTATCTTGCTTGACTTTCAGTAACATGCACGGTAAAGCTAATCTGAAATTGAAATACATATGACTGACCAATTATATTATCTTGTTTGACTTTTAAAGTAAGTAAAGTATTCCAAATATAAATAATTCACCAATACATTTATCTTGTTTGACTTTTGGACTCGTGGTATGAAAACCCAAGCACTAAAATTAAGATGATATATCACTAACTGACCATGCAATGTTTATTTTTGTTAAATAATTCACCAACACATTTATCTTGTTTGACTTTTGGACTCGTTGTATGAAAGCCCAAGCACTAAAATTAAGATGATATATCACTATTTGACCATTGCATGTTTATTTCTGTTAACTTTTATGGTCATACGAGGATGAAGCATTGACTTACCAAACTTTATTTTATAGAAATATGTATAACAATTGACTAAAATTTGTAAAGTGTATATGTGACTTATGCATGCTTGGTGAATAAAATTAATATGGAGAGATGTAATCTATAAATACTAGTAAAACTTTAATGATATCATAATCCAAAACATATATTTATTTACGTTGCTTAGCGTTTTTTTTTTCCTGGCAAGATGAATTTTAATTTTAGAGATCACCCAAATTTTCATGACTCATCCACCTCTTCAAATGATGAAGAAAAAATGGAACTATATGATTATTTTGACAATGAAGAAGAAGCGATCCTTCTTTATATTGCTAATAACAATTCAGCAATCCAATTTTTACTTCATCAACAAGAAAATCAGGCCATACATGGTGGCTCTATTCCAGGGGGTTCTTTCATTCACCGAGATCGAGAAAAAGCGCACATTATAGATTGTTCAACGACTATTTTTCGGAGACTTTAGTTTACAATGATGTTACGTTTTGTAGGAGATATCGCATGTCACGTCCTCTATTCCTCCGTATAATCGAAGCTGTTGAAAGTTATGACAACTACTTCACACAAAAAGGGATGCAGTGGGTAGACTTGGATTATCGTCCCTGCAAAAAATAACGGCGGCGTTTCGAATGTTAGCGTATGGTCTTCCTGCAGATGCCACAGACGAGTACGTAAGGATAGGCGAATCAACGGCAATCGAAAGCAACAAAAGATTTTGTCGAGCTATAGTGGCTATATTTTCAGAGGAATACCTACGGTCACCAACACCAAATGATGTTTCCAGGCTTCTTTACATTGGTGAAAAACGAGGTTTTCCAGAAATGCTTGGTAGCTTAGATTGCATGCATTGGAAGTAGAAGAATTGTCCTACCGCTTGGGCTGGACAATTTTCTGGTCGTAGTGGATCATCTACTCTAATTCTTGAAGCCGTGGCCGATTACGATATTTGGATATGGCATGCATATTTTGGAATGCCAGGCACAAACAATGATATCAATGTAATGGATTCTGCTCACCTCTTCTCCAATCTCGCTCAAGGTATTGCTCCTCCTGTTAATTATATCATTCAAGGAAAGAGTATAATATGGGATATTACTTGGCCGATGGTATATATCCAAAATGGTCAACCATAGTACAAAATATTCATCAACTAATGGGTCGGAAAAAAAAAATATTTTGCTACTCAACAAGAAGCTTGTAGAAAAGATGTAAAACACGCATTTGGAGTTCTCCAATCGCGTTTTGCTATTGTGAAAGGGCCAGTTCGTTTTTGGGAAAAAAATGTGTTACATGACATTATGACTACGTGTATAATTCTACACAACATGATAACTGAGGATGAACGTGATCTTGACGCACCAATTGAAGTGGGAAGAGAAACTCCACCTCCATAAGTTGAAACACCAGAGAATGATAATATTCGGTTTGAAGAGTTTCTTGGTCGATTTAGAAAAATCAAAGATAAAGAAGCTCATTTCGCACTTCGAAATTCGTTGATTGATCATTTGTGGGAAAGATATACTAATGGTGATGTTTAAATTAAAATGTATTATGTTTTAATATAATGTAATGTAATTTTGAAGATAATAAATGTTTGATATAAATAATTTATGCAAACTTTGTGAAAAAATAACTATAAAGGATTATTTTGTAAATTTTGTAAGTAAAAGGCATTAGTCATAAAATATAAAAGAATATATTTAAAAAAAAAATTTAGAGTAAAATTTAGAGTAAACCATTGAAGAGAAACTCTCTATTTTAGAGTAAAAACTACTATGAAATAGAGTAAACCATTGGAGATGGTTTAAGGAGGCAATATGGTTCAGAAGATTTGTCAGCAATCTTGGTCTTCATCATGATCATGCTACTATTTTATGTACTAATTTGAATGCTATATGTGATTATGGAAGATTCAAGTCAAGGTAGAAATTTGTTGAATATAATTTGAATCTGGTCGAGCGGCGTCGATCGTTCGATTTAAGAGTCATGGATCGACCGTGGCAGAGATCGATCTATCCATGTGGCATGGATCAATCGATCCTTGCCAAAATCCTATAATCTGTCGGATTTTCACCTTAGCCCGTAGCACAAAAATTATTCTCTGAAATTCGCCTTTATTAATAAATTACTCTTTTTGCCTGTGGGTGTAGTTTAAAGATGAACCACGGTAAATCTTTGTGTCTTTCCTTATTATTTATCTTTCTGTTAATTTGTTTATGCTCATTCGTCACAATATTATGTTTGAAAATAATAAACTTGAAACTATTAATTTAATTTTTATTTTTCTTTTTTTATTATGATATTTTTGATAAATATTAAAAAAAATTAAAATTAGTGATCAAATGATGCTTTATTTTCTATTTTAGAAATATATTTTTAAATGAACTAGAAAACTATAAATCAATTCAGTAAATCTGAATGAGAAACAAACCAAATCGAACTCAAAACTAAATCAAACCAAACTAATTTCAGTTAGTTCTGGTTAAGGATCTTATGAGTCAAACAAACCAAACCCAAACCGAAATGTCCACTCCTAATTTCTTAAACCAATTTATCGAAGATGGATGGTTAATCTTATCTCTATCAAATTCGATTTGGTTTGGTTTGATATGCAAGTATGGATTTTACATCCGGCTCAAATTTATTCTCTTCTCTTTTAGCTATTGGGAACTGTAAAACTTTGATATACTCATAGGATAAAAGTGACGATGATGCTTGGTCTTAAATGGGTAGTTGACAAAAAAAAAGTGAGAACGATGAGATAACAAGTTAAAAATTTAGGACGTCTCAGGAGGATTCGACATTCACAAATGTCATAATCATATTACAAACAAAGGGCGTCTCTTAGATAATGGTCGTTGTATTAAACTTTGTCGTCATGGAACCACCACCTCGTCTCCTTTGGAGACCTCCCATTCTTACAGTTCTTCACGTAGCGATCATTATCCGCTGGGCGTTCCTGCAGTCAACTCAAATGTGTTTGTTAATGGGAATTTAGGACATACTACAAAGGAGGAAGAAGAAGGAACCTTTGCAGGTGAACTCGACAGCATGGAGAGAATGCTGATGCAGACTGAACTCACAGTCATTGCTGGTGACCACGAGTCATATAGAATATCTGCCAAAACACACAGCTTTATGTACTTTATCATAAACACGGAGTATTAGACAGACTGAGATATGCAACCACACATCAGAAACATTGTTGGATCATACATAACCGAAAGAAAAGAAAAAGAATCTCTAACTTTACTATCATCTAGCCATGTAGCAATTTTACTGTCATTTCTTATAAAAGCTAACTAGACAATTAAAGCGTCTCAGGAAGCAAGAAACGAAACCTTTGATGTAAAACAAAACAATATAGAAGCATCTACGCAGACATTAAACGATCATAAGCCAAAGGGAAGGAGCAATATACCTAAACAAATATGACCATTGCTGTAAATGTGTGGATGTAACGGTCCCGGAGGAACAAAAACTACCTGCTCAACAGCATAGCAATTTTATACAGTCATACTTTCTCATCTTCCACAGCAACAAAATTACAAAAGAAACACACATAAAAACTAAATTAAAAAAAAAAAAGAAAAAATTAACACTAGCTCCATCAAAGAAAACACTTTAGTTTGAGAATTCTATGGATCTATAACAAAGTATCAGTCCCTCATCAGTGAGATTTGTATTAGCCAAGCAAAGAGAATAGAAGAGAAACACACGAACATAAAGATAAGTTCCTTACAATAGAAAAAAGGCCTTTTAATCAAACATATATCTTCAACTAATCAAAAGAAGCTGCGACCAATAACTCACTTCTTCAGACAAAAGAAGAAAAGGAATGAGATGACTTGCCTGGGGAGCTTCCATAGGGTAATTAACGGGAAATTCAACCTGAAGCTGGTAAGTCTCATTCTCGTATAGCGTCCCCGGAGCCCCGGTCACATCGATTGTCCATCTTCATAAATCGATCAAAATTTCAGAAGAGAAATATTCAAAGGGAGATTGTTGAAATAAAAAAGGGGCTTACTTTTGAAGATTATCGCTAACTTTGTGCCTAAATCCAGTGGGGGGATTTACTTGCCACTCGGTAAGCTCTTTCTGCAACCTATTGCACGCGATCTTGCTTAACGCCTACGCATATATATATATATATATTTTTTAAAAAAATACATTTCAATTTCAGGTTCTATCAAATGCTATTTTCAAAAAAAAAAAGAGAGAGATAGATTCGTAGAGAGATCGAAGACATGCGAAAGGGACACCTTGCGTGAAGGAGCGGAAGAGCTGGTCATGGCGGAGAGAGACGGGAAACGAGAGAGAACCGATGTGTGTGCTGTGTCTGGGCTCCTCCTTTACTCTTCACAGTTTCTTTTTTTCTAATTAATTAATAGCGTCACTTCGTTTTTCTTCTAAAATATGTTAAGACTAGGGTAAACCCGCTACATGGATAGAAAAGTAAATAAATAATAGTATAAATTTATTTTAAATGTTTGATTCACTTTTAACTAAAAAGTAGCTTTACCGTTTATATTTTTTTACAAAAATTGTAATTATTTATTTACTATTTTAGAAATTATACTTATCTAACTATAACAAAATTTAAAACAATGCAATTTTTTCAATGTGTATTTTAGTTTAACTAACAAAGATTATTTTAAAAGAAATTACAGTAAATTGTAATATATAGAGTGAAGTTATTTACTCGTAAAATTATATTTTTTTCATTAACTAAACTGCTTTTTCTTTACACCATCATAAAAAAAAAATTATTTACATGATGTTATCTATTAAACTAAAATATTTTAAGACAGATAAATAGACAATATTAAATTATTATTACTGTTTAGACATATATATGTTTTTAAAAATATTATATGTATTATATATATGAAAATCAAGTTAACCATGTTATCAAAATAGTTGATTAGAATTTTTGAAATAGATTTTACTAACTTATAAAATATTGTCTTTACATTATTTTTATTATACATAATAAATTATGATATATTGATTATATTTTTTTAAAAATATTTTGTTTATTATACAATACTTGTTAGTTATAATTTGTATTTATTTAAAAATTATTCTTATTTCAAACTTATAAATAAAAGTTTATTAATTATTTGTTAATATTTCTAATGTAAAGGTTGTTTTTAATTTATATATAAAATAACCCATTCGAAATATTTAATAAGAAAAGTTATATTTTCAATTTTGTTATTATATACACATAAATTTACTTAATCCAATTTTCTTTAGTATGCAACTTCTGATATAAAAGCTTTAATAATACTTCAATTGGATTTAAAGGGTTCCAATAGGTTACAACTTAAGAACATGATTGTTTCAATTTGGTTAGATCGAATTTGAGTGTGTTGGTGTAATAAAAGAGATTTTGACTTATTGTTAAGTCCAATTGACTATAGTTTGAGCCCACAATGATACTTACTTTGTAAACAAAGTCAACAACCAAATATAACTTTACAACAACTTCTCGATCGTTTCTTCTTTTCTTCACATCTTAAACAATCAAAGAAGCTCAAACCATCCCAAAGATGATGTACATGACCTTCTACTGAGAAATCAAAGCTACAATTCTTTTCAATTTCTGGAAAACCAATTCATGTCTAAATTACATCATCACCTTACTTGCTTGCTTCGTCTTCACTGTCTTTTACCAATAGCATAAGAACCGCCGTCTCCAGTTCAGATCCATTTATCTATCTATCATCCTCTTCTGCCTTGCATCGGTGCTTCCACTCTTCTTCTCGCCAATTCAGATACCAGATCCGCTGCGAAAGCTATGTTAGTGGTGCTTTTCGCGTGAACACGGTGATCGGTTACTTGATGATGCTCGTGTCTATGTCCTTCAACAGAGGAGTTTTCATGGCTGAGAACACATAATTTTTCCGGGTAAAAATAATCAGGGTTGTTCGCTATTGAACTGTGTTTTTCGACCAAAAACTAACTATAATGTACAAACATAGAAAAACCCATAAAAATAGTTGATTATTTAATGAAGCCTAGAGTCTGGAAGGATGAAACACGTGTCACTTTGAGAATGTATAAATTAATGATGTGGCATCAAAAAAGGGATGCAAAATCTTCTATATATAATAAGAATATATTTTTCAGTGGGTTGAATTTGCACTGAGTAACCATTATAAAAAAAAAAGATGACAATTAATTCACCAGTGACAATGGCTACAATATTCTTCTATATATTAATTACAAAATCATTTAAATGATTTTCTTATGTGTCATTGATGAAGTTTTGATAAAATAATTATAATTTGATTAGTTCGATAACTTTTAATTTTTAACTAAATCCAAAATTAAATGTATTACATAAAATCATTGATTTATTGTATTCACTACTAATATAATTATATTAAAATAATTTTATAAATTTTTATTTAATATCACATGTATTTATATGTATAATATCAATTTATAGAATTTAGTCTATAATATTTAATTATTTCAATAAATAAATTTTGTTAATTCATCTATATTTTACATGTCTGATTATATTTTTGAAAACATAGATGAGATTAGGTAGTTCTACGATTAGTCTTCTTTTGAAAACTTTAAATAGAAAAATGAAAAATTATCAACCAATCAAATTATAACAAATAATTTGAGAGCTCTCTTATAAATGATATATTAACATAAATCACTAAAATGACTTCTTAATTAATATATAAGCGGATATTATTAATGAATATAATAAATCATAGATTTCAGAAAACTAATTAATCTAAACCTAATATATATACATATTCTAAAATGTGTCAAATGAATTCAAAACAGTCAAATAAATAATTTCAAAAAATTCTAATCATTTTCAAATGACAATGTGATATCATAAAAAAGTTATCACTTTTAGAAACGAATAAAATACTTTTATATTTAACACATAAAAATTATACGGTAAGTCATTCTCCTACATATTAATTGACAAGTTGCTTAAGTGATTTCTACTGCCGTGTCGCTTGTAAGAGAACTATCCAATTAATTGTTATAATTTATTGGTTCATGATTTTTTCATTCTTTATTTATTTTAATTACTGGTTTTAAAAGAAAAATGATCGTAGAATTACCTAATCTAATATATATTTCCAAGCATGCAATTAAACATATTAAATATAAATGAGTTAACATAATTTATTTCTAGAAACAATTAAATATCATAGATTACATTATATTTTATAGAAACAATTAAATAATATGATATTACAAAGACAATTATAAAATGGGTTTTCATATATTTATAATAGTAATAAATACAATAAATCATAGATTTCAGAAAACTAATTAATCTAAACCTAATAATATTAATTAACTCATTCTTTCACTATATATATATTTTTAAAATGTGTCAAATAAATGAAAAATAGTCAAATATAATGTAATCTATGATGTTTAATTGTTTCTATAAATGAATTAAATATCATAGATTACATTATATAAATTGATAATTTACATATAAATACATATGATACTACTAAAACAATTATAAAACGGTTTTTCATATATTTATATTAGTAGTGAAAACAATAAATCATAGATTTCAGAAAACTAATTAATCTAAACGTAATAATATTAATTAAACTCATTCATTCACTATATATATATATATATATATATTCTGAAAATGTGTCAAATAAATGCAAAACAGTCAAATATTTAATTTTAAAAACTTTCAATAATTTTCCAATGACAATGTGATTCATAGATGAGTTATAACTTTTTGAAATTATTAAATTATTATTATATTTTAAAACATAAAATTATATCGTAAGTCATTTAAAATTATATTTAATGGTAATTCATAGAAAATTACTATTATATGGTACATTATTTAAAATTACATTAATAAAATTATTTTTACAGTTTTTTCCTATAGTTAATACTCTATTAATATTATTCATATAGCTTCGGTTATAAGAAAACTGGCATGCTTATTTTTAATAGGAAAAAAAGAAAAGAGACATAAAAAAGAGAGAAGAATAATAAAATATGTTTGTTGTATTCTTGGTTCTCTTATATTCTTATGTATTTAATTTTATCTGTTTTTCGAGATACTATAAATGTTAAGTAATTATTTTTATGTATTTTTTTTTAAAGTTAAGATAAATTGAGTAAGGAAGATCAACAAAAATGACCAGCTCTACAATTGGAAAAATCAAAGATGCAAAATATAATGTAAACTAAAAGTAATAAAAATTATTTAAAAATAATGAGATGTATTTTTCACGGTATACTTAACTTTTAAGTTGTATGATGATACAAACAATTTATTTAGATTTAATATTGGATCTCACATTAATATCAAGTATATATGCTTAAAATAACAGCATTGCATTAATTACAATTCAAAATTATTCTTTTTTTTCTTATTAGTTAGTCAGATTAAATTTAAATAAGCATGTTTTAAAATAATTTAAAATAAATGTAAATAATAAATTTAAAAGTTTTAATAAAAACATTTGGTACAATGAATTAGTGTTTTATAAAATAGTATAATCATCGGAGATAATTTAAGAAAGAATTTGCGTACTTAACCCATTTGAGTTTTATGTTAAACACTAAATAAAATATGACTGCAAAAGTGTGATTTCTGATTTGACAAAATTATGAGAGAAAATGATTAAACTACCTTTTTTAATACATGTTTGATGTTTACTTTAATAAAATTTATCTTTAGTTTTAAAGAGATAAATTAAGAAGTCACTTGAGTGACTTTTACTTATGTGTCATTAATACGTTAAGTTCTAAAAAATAGTTTTGTGTACTTTTATTAGTTACTAGTGGTTTTCCCGGGCTACGCCCGGGTTTTCATATATAAATTTTAGTTTAATTTAATTTATTATATTAATTTTGAATATATATAATGCTTATATATCCATTTTTAAAAATATAAATCATAAAATGAAGTTTAAATTATTAAATTTTAAACGAACTAATATTGACAGCAGATGTTATTTGTTTTCAGTTTTAATTATGATAAGATTTTAAATAAATTTCAATGATATTTGATCAAAAACCGTAATGTCTAGATGAGATTGCTTAGTTGTTATTTGATGAACTACTTTTTGACAAACTGATATATTTAATAATATTTTTGTATAGGTAATTGTTTTATTCTTCAAACTTCTGACAATGTCTATTATAGCATTTTTAATAAAATTTTGTTCTTGATGTTGAAGCGGGTAATATTTTTCTCCAATTTACTGAACAAAAAACTACAAAATATCATACCTGATAATTAAAATTTATATAAATTTTTATTTATTAGTTTTGTTTAAATGTTTTTTTTTAAATTGAAAAAAATAATTGTATATTTTTTTTGCCAACAAT